TGACTTTAAAGCTGAATCCGCCCCTGACACAATTGGCCTTGTGTTAAACAATATATGAGGTGTTCCATTAGAAAAAAATAAGTAATCTTTACAAAAAACTCTAAAGCCCTGTATATTGTTACATTATTTGAAAGAAGTCACGCTATGTTCTCATATCCCCAGATAAATGGTATTAGAGGAGATTTTTCAATTTATTTTACCGGCTTAGTACAGTGCTGTTCCAAATGTGAACCTGTTTTCAGCGATAAGTGTCTGTCTGGTAAACTATTAACCGCAAATCAAATAGATCTCATATCAAAGTGACCATTAAAAAATCTAAGGTTGACTTGTTACGGATTTTTGCAAACGCCCTGTGTACATAGTGAAAATTAATAGCTTTCGTACAAAATTTATTAATATTTGGGAGAAATATTGAAATGTTTCTATGTTCTTATTTAGGTTAAAGACTGATAAAATTAGTGTGCATTCAAAAACTAATAATTGCAATGACATACATTAGAATCAACTTAAAATAAATACTTGAGGCATCATAACCAAGCAAATATAAGTGTTTCAAATACAATAATTGGAAATCGCATACCATCTCGACAACTGATTGTGGAAGAATGAACAAATTAATACGATATGAAATAAAATGTAGAAACTGAACAATAAAATGTGAATATGCACCTTGAACTCATGACTTAGAATAAAATGTTAAAATGATATCAACTAATTGAAAGAAATATTCAGATTGAGTGAAATAAACTGAAAAAAGTTAAGTGATGACTCTTGAGATAGTCACATAGTTAATTCTGTACTTCAAGTATGTACAAGTTAACTTGTGCATTCAAGCACTTGGAATCCACTCTGACGGTCTCCCTGTGGATCGTGAAATACTTTTGTTTAGTTGTAATTTGAAAATGTTCGTACATTGATTGATCTCGACATACAGCTAATAAGGCAATAATAATAATTTCCTGACATGTTAAAACACTATGCAAAACAATAACAATTATTACTTTCCAGGCACCAGTTTTTTCAATCCATTTCTACTACAATTGTATTTTCACATTCAATGTTCTATTTGAAATTGGAATCTGTTGTTGGTTTGCAACTCTTATGACGAATAAAGTGAGTGGCTAACGGTAAATAATGTAATTTCTTGCAGTAAAAGTGAGTTTTTTTAGGGGAACGATGTGGCTGATGCTTGTTACAACTACAATTGGCTGCATTCCTCTAGTGCTACCAGAAAACTATTACTGATTATGCTTTGTCGCAGTCAAAAGCCTTTGTTTATTACCGTTGGGAAGATTATTCAGTTGTCAATTGGATCGTTTTTGTCGGTCAGTTGAATTGATAAATGAAATTCCAGGTTTCCCTATGTATATGGGTTTTAGGTATTGAAAACGGCCTACTCCTACTACGCTCTAATGCAACATCTGTACGACAAGACAAGCCAATAGGATCCACATCGAAACTTGGCAATCGTCTAAGTTAATCACTTAAAGTAGAAATTCACGACTTCTGTCTAATAACTGGCAATATAAAAACATAGTAGAGTTGACAAAGCACTACTTCGTTTTTGTCTTTCACTCTAAGCAAAACACTCGTGTGTGAATTATTTCCAGTAATACTCTTAAACCCTTATGATCTAGTTGACCTGAAATTCACATTCATCAGAACTCGAGTGCACAAACCTAAAAATTATTCTTGTTGTCCTGTATCCCAACACAACGCGAGTTTTTTCGAAACATTTAAGTTTTTGGAAAATAGTTGGAGGAAAGAGGTGTAGAATTCATATGACGGAGGGATTATCTAAATAGAAATTTGCAGGTTTAATGAAAGTAGTGATTTCACAATAGTAAGCCTAGAAGTAATAAGAACTAGTTTTAAAGCTAAATGTAGCTTCAATCTAAAAGAAATAAACGTCCAAGTACTACAGACCGACATGACTAGGTAATTGTCGAGTTGACATGGCTCCAATTAGCATTTTTAGCTCCCTCAGAAAATTTTGTATATTCGAATTTATTTTAATATCCATGGGTAACTTATTGTACAGATTTATAAACAGTGAGTACTTATTTCTGTTAATTGCAGACGGTATTGTAAGTGAAAATAAAATTCTATTATTGAAAAACGACAGTACATTTATATCCAAAGGCATACATTTCTACATCATTCCCGATAATTCGGTTCTTTTATTATTCTAATAACTGGCTTCTGAGCAACAAAAATGTTTTAACCATACATTAGTGCCATACAAAATCACGAGCGGTCGTTCGCTCGTATATTTATTACTAATAATTCCATAGCAAAAATAGCATAGCAAGTTTGGAGGTGTAGATAGTAGAGGTGTGATAAACGGTTATTTTTCTGTAAGATTACAACGTTCCAGTTTCACCTCGATAACAGGTTTCAAAATGCGGTTCCAAAAGGAACATGTTTCTTTTTAAATCTTTCATTAAAAATGCAGAATGATGATGACAGTAGGAATAGTGATGATATATCGCTTCTCCGGAAGAACAATGACGCAACTGCAAACTTTGACTTTTTTAGTTAATTATGGCACTATTACTTGGTATTTTTGTACGATATTGTACGGTAAATATCATGGGACCTTGCTTTTAATTAGTGCGAAGGCTCTTTTCATGTCTGGGAAATATGTCCCACTGTCCTCAGCCTTCAATCTAGATCGATGAAATCCCAGTTGAAGACTTTATTTTGTTTTTCTGGACCTTTCTGGTTCCAAATCTCTGGTACGGTAAAATACGGTATTTTCAAATGGCTTGTACGGTAATACGCGTTTGAAAAGTTGGCCACCCTGCCTCCAGATGAACAGTTAGTAGCGTCTGAGTTATCAAGTCTGGTGCATGAATTGTAGTTCAAAAAGTACGTAAGTGCCGTAGTAGTATATGTATTTTGATAATTTATACAGATTCATCTTCTGCATGTATTTATACGCAGTGGAAAGGTTACAAATAAACTCTATTACTCACAAATTCTTCATACGTGGGCATAGACAGTATTATCGAGAAATCTATGAAGAGAGCCAGAAAATCAGGACCCATATACGTGCCTGACCAATTACTGAGCATAATAAGAAATTTAAAGAAACTGGAAATCCTTTTGTGGTGAATGAAATGAGTTATGACGACTTTATAGATTTAAAGTCGATGTGCAATGAAATCGGTTTCACTTCCCAGAAAAATCTAGAGGGTGGTCAGATTAAGATGTCAGATATAGAAGTGGTAAAATTTGTGAAAGGAAGCGATGTATACTTTTACAAATCTAGCTACAAACAGACTACTTGGGTACAAGTTAGGAGTCGAACTATTTTAACTAGACGCTCTTCTGGAGTAAAGAGTCTAAATAGCATCATCAGAAAACCCGCCTACATTTTAAAAATCCCACTAAGTAAAAATAAGAAAAAAGATTTACAAACTTTGTTAACAAAAAACATTATTCCAAAATATTATGAACCTTGTTTTAGTGACTTGTTTTGAATTTTTGCTTTTGTAATGTTATTAATAAATATTTCTTATTCAACTTATTTTTTCTGTTGTCATTTGATAAAGTTGACTGTGACTAAAATAAGGTATTCATCTAACAATTTCAATAATTAATCTTGTCACAACTATTATTACTGCCGCCTTTCCCAATAGAACAATGATGCAAATGGAACTTTTTGGTCTTAGGCCTACACATCTTCATATGTTTTAAAAATTATAAAATGCGTAGCAGCATCTAAAATTAGAATAAATTTGCTCGATCTGGAAGTTCCCATCTATTATCCAATGTCCAAATTGTTCCTTAAAGTCTCAGTGTAAGTTTCATTATTATAATTTGCTTAATTTCGGATTTTTGAAAAAAAATCAATTTGCACTTGCGTCACTGTTCTTCCGGAAAAGCGATATAATGATTTCTTTTATTAAAAACACTTTCTTTCTCTTAATTCTTAACATTAGTAAACTTAACATAAAATATTCGAAAGTCAAAAACAAAACATTGGTCAGAAGTAACTACTTAAAGAAAAAGCTAGAGTGATAGAATAAAATATACGGTTTATATGCGAAAATGTTTAAAAATCTAATTTCTCTCCTATTTATAGACTTTCACAAAACTATTTTTAAAAAGCTTCATTGGGATACAAGGAAACTAAACATAGGTGGTAGGAAACTTAGCTACCTCCGCTTCGCGGACGACATAGTTCTAACGTCTGACAACTTGAGAGAAGCGAGACAGGAGATATGGTCCGGGGTGGGTCTGAAAATGAACTTTTCCAAAACGAGGATCATGACAAATCTCGTCGTGAGCCAAGATATGAACATCGAAAACCCCGAAATTGAGTTGGTCGAAAAATAGACATGCCTGGGCCATAAGCTAAGAATCTAGAGATAATCAAACATGGAAGCTGCAGGGAAGACTCGGCCTAGGACGGGAGGCCTATCGAAAGTTAAAACATGTCTTCTAGATCGAACTCATACTTTTACTAATTTTTAGAGCGATGAAGGGATATAAAGTTTTCCATCAACAAATCAAGAAGCGCTAACAGCAAGCATGAGAGACCACTGAAAGTGTTTTCGTATCTGGTATTATATCTTGAACGTTTCGAGTAAATCCACATTGAGTAACAATTTAATGTCATCTATTCCGTTGTAAGAAATGTATTGTTTCAACACCAAGCTGTGATATGAACTCTAAACATTCTAGATATTTACGATTAAAAATAAATAGAAAACTATCTACATATGCTTGCCTCAGTACTCTTCCACCAAATACCATCGTAAGTTTAGTACCAGCACCCATGTTAGCGCTGTATTTAATAAATTCCGAAAATATTCGAAACCCCGTAAGAAATTGGCAGACATGAAAATGTACAAACATGATGTATAAAACTGCCCGAACTAATTGCACTAATGTTTCATGTAAAACACGCAACGTGATGAAACAACTTTAACGGGCAAATTTGAAATTTTAACCTGTTTGTAAAGTTACACAACTCAAAGAAAAATAAACTCCAACTCTCGATGGTGCGCAATAATAACTATTATGCAGTTCAAAAACCTCGTTTAAGCAAAACAGGTTGCAATTTAAGCAAAAGTAATTAACATACATCATGTTGTTTTCACCTTAAATAACCAATAATTAATATTTTTTCCACGAAATACTATTCAGCTATTCATAAAAATACAATTTTGTTGTCGCGTACGATTTTGTGAATAATTGAAAAGTGAATCTTGCAACAGCACACCAAGTTAGTTTTCACCATTTTGATGCTCCAACGTAGCAATTATATTGTTTATTCGTCACAAATTACATAATTGTCCTTACCAATGTTATTTCTGAGTGTTGGTATGCGCCTAATTAAATAATGAGGAAGATTGTAAAAGGCCGTGCAAACATTAACCATATACTTACACGTTAATTATTTGGAGCTGATTGATTGGTTAATTATTTAACTTAAGCAACTAATAAATAAGTCTAAGTAGTAATAAGTTTGGGAATATACATATACAGGGTGTTCGGAGAATGCATTTTGAAACTTTTAAGGGTGATTCTACATGCTAAAATAATCGTAGTAAGTCATATAA